TCAAAAAATTTCAAGAAATTGTTAGTATGGTTGTTATTTTAAAAAATGCATGTGGGGAAAATGTACTGGTAAAACAAACATGCTAAACCAAACAAAAATACTATTAACATGGCATTTAGGGGTTAAAATATTATTTTGCATAAACAGCATGGGGTTTATTAAGGGGTAGGGGGTCCCTGGAAATTTTTCACCCTTGTAAGGGGTCCCCAGACACAAAAAGTTATGAGAACCCCTGCTTCATAGGATAAGAGTGGATTGCAGCATTTCATTTTTTATATTTAAAAAGGTTACACCACTTCAAAATTTGCATCAGAAATAATATTATAACCCTGTTAGAGGTGCTACTACTAGCTGCTGCTGTTGCTGTCTGTACTTGCAAAATGCACTAACATTTTGTGTAGATAACYAGTGGGCAATGTAAAGGGTTAAAAAAGGTTTGGATAAACCACAATAAAAAAAACTGGAGCTGTTTGAAAATGGCAGATGTCTGCTTTGTTCTTGGCTTCTCTCAGACTGGGGTTACAGGCAAAATAATGATAATCACAATTAATTGTGGCATTTAGTCAATGACTATTATTATGACCAATAAAAGATAACAATTAGACTTGTATGTTTTTGACTCAAAATTATTTACCCTGTGTTCAAAAATGATACTCATCAGCCAAACTAACTTCTTGATTTTAAAGGCCATGGTCCAGCCCTCATTTTCTCCTTCCTTTGCTGCTTGTAAAGGACAGATTGACTGAGTSCATCATGGACTCTCAGCTGAGTAGATTTGTTTCCTCCATTCACTCGAGGCGAGTTTGCAGTAGCCGGTGTTGCCTGGGTCCACTTTCCTCATACTGTGGTTTATGGCTGTGCTTCAGGTGATGAAGTTTGTTGTGTCATTAGCTCCATGTTAGAGTTGCTCTGCAATAACATTAGCTTTGTTAGTGTTAGCTACAAATTAGCCTTACTGTAGCTCTGCATTAGCTTTRGTGTTGTATAATTCACTAATTACAGTAATACTGTATAATCGGTGACAGTTTTACTGTCAAATACAG